TCTTACTCGAATGGCTCGAACATTAATTCATTTCCAACGAAACGTCAGGTGAATAAATAAATAAACAACTGTTTTGTTTCTTGTCTTTGACATTTAAACGATTGCAGTTTTCTTAAAGCTAAAATAAATAACCCACACCATCAAAAATATCCACTTAAAAATCGCATTCCTCATAAAATAACAGCATTCCACAAATGCATAAACGTATGTATGTTTGTATATTCAAACTTTCATTGCTCACATGAGCTTAGCAGAAAATCAAGATGTTCATCGAAAATTTTTTACCTGCAGTATGCAAACAATATTCATTAACATTTACGTATAAAAAAAAAATTTTCAAGGCAGCATTTCTTATGTTTTTCGTCTTCAATCAACTTTGAAATCGCTTTGTCTCCTACTTTTTCTGCAAAGCACATTTTGCTTTACACATTTCAAATACGTATCTAAACGGCTTTTTGCAATTTTTGTTTTCTATTTTTTGTATCAAAACTTATACCTAAACTCTTTCGTTCATAGAACTTAAACTGATAAATATATCGTAGATATATGGCTTTCCAGTGGGACGATTGTACCTTCTAGGAAACGGGCTAGTTTTCAGGTGAATTGCAAAGAGCAGAAATTCTAAGAAAGCTAATGCCCAATTTCCACTAGGCGCTGAAATGACAAACCCATTTTGCCTTCGAAAATTTCCAATTAAAATGAAGCTTGTTAATGGCGTGGATGTTTTTNACACAAGTAATTTCCACTAGGCATTTAAATGACAAAAATGCCGAAGCATTTTCTACAACAAATCACATGTGGAAACGGACTAATAGGGAAATTTTGGCAACAGTCTTTAAACTCACAAAATTTTTTCACAAGTCAATTGTCAGTTCTGGCAACTAATTGAACGCTCTTTTCTGTCTTTCGAAAAATTAGTTGTGAGATCTGATCACGGTGAGGCCTTAGCGTTATTCTGTTTGTCTTTTATTTTCAAAGTTGTGTTGTTTCGAAATTAAAATAAATAAATAAACTACAATCTTCTTTTCAAAACAATAAAACTAAAAACTTTTACATTAAAAAAAGGAAAATAAATTAAACTCTAAAAATTAAATTAAATAAAAAATAAAAATTTTTTAAAGCAATAAATCTTAAAAACCAAAAGAAAATGAAAAGAAATTCAATTAAAAACGGAAAAAAATAAATGAAAATATAAAAAATTATATCTTTAAAACAATAATAAAAAGAAAAATCTTTAGTCTTAAGCAATAAGGGGTGAAATTTAATTAAAAAGGGGAAAAAATACATAAAACTAGTTTCTGAAAATCAAATGAAGAAAATATAAATACATTTTTTTTAAGAAATTAATTATAAAGTGAAACAATTAATTCAAAAGTAAGGGTAATTGTAGGGGTAGAGCGACCAAAATAATATACTAAAAGAACTTTTCTCTATGAAAGGAAGTTTTGTGAGAAAAAAGTGTGTATTATTACATTAAAAATAAAGACCTTATTTGAATGGTAAACATTTTATTTAATTTTTGCCATTTTAATGCCCAGTGGAAACTCGGCATTAGACTGTGCTCTATATTAGCTATATATCAGCTTTGTAAAGCCTTCAATGGATTTTATATGGACGCGAATAGAGTAAACGCTCTCTCTGAACCTCACACTTGCTGTATATACCAGTAATTCGATTTACTTTTGAAATTGTATTGTCATACATGCTCAAAGGCGATAAAAAGCAATAATAATTGTGTATAAAAATATAAAAAAACTTCTTTAATTCATTGCTCACTTTTGATTTGTGTGAAGTAAACAATTTGTCACTGGACATTTCTGAGATTCAAAAATCGTAAGGGAATTAAATGTAAATATTCGATTAAGAGAACCATTTATGCATTCAACGCAAAATTTGTTGTTTGCAAGTAAAAAAATGACTCAAAACAATTAACATTTTGTCGCAAAAAGCTTTTCACCACACGCAATTGAGCTTTCGCAGCTTTATTATTATTGCAGCGCTTTTGTAGCGCCAGAATATCGATGCAATAGAATGGCCCGATTAAACTGCATTGCTGACAACTCTCATACAAAACCTAACACAATTACGTAATTTATCCAGATCTATGAAGTATTTGTAGGCACTTTCTTAATTAACAATAAATAAATAATTTAATAAATAAATAAATAATTGAGTTCCTCAATTTCCGCGGATAAAAAAATCTTCATAATAAATATGTCTGAATACTATACATATTACCATAAGTAAATAAATAAATAAATAAATAAATAAATAAATAGCAATAAATTAGCGATTTTTCAAATAAAGCCATTTGATATGGCTCTCATTTTTGCGCTCATTTGCCCTTTGAATCGCCAACTTCCACTGGCGCTCCACCACTCTTTAACATCACCTACCTCATGCTCTTCGCTCCTTACAACTGATATGGATGACAAAATTGATAAACCAAACGCTGTGAACGCTCCGTCTTCTTCATGATACCCTTCTTGTAGTATTGTCTTATTGAACGCGACAATTTGTCATAATTCATAGCCGGACGATTTTTACGGCCGCCCCATAACTTCGCCACCCGCACGGAGTCTTCGATTTTAAATATGCCACGATTGCGATCAATCCAACGTATGGCTGTGCCATGTGTATGTGGCTCGGCTAATAGTTCCTTCAGGAATTGCCATAGATGTATGTGTGCACCACCGCTGCGACCGGTGCGCTTAGTTTCAGCTGGTTTTGCAACAGCCAAGGCGCTGGTAGTTGGCAACATTTCCTCATCATCTAAAAGAGCGTTGCGAGAGAGTAAAATAAAAAAAATGTGTTCTATTGATTTTAAAAGTTGAAAATTTGTACCATTGCTGTCCTCTGGTGCATTGCTGCTAAAATGGTAGCGCCATACCTCCAGTTGAGCATACAAGTCGGAGCCGCTCTGTAATATATGTAGGAGAGAAAAAATAGTGAGTCAACTAGAGATACAAGAAAAAATTAAAAATTTAAGAGTATTTTAATGCTATTTATGTATATGTATGTAGACCCCATAACATGCAGAGAACTTTTAGTTGTGGATAAAAGCGCTCTTACACGATATGTATTTGCATATGTAAATGCTAGTTTTAAGTATCTACTCGTACGTACCATATATTAGAACGCGCTAGAGAAGTAGCATTTACATATGTAAGAGCGCTATAACTAAAAACATAGCTCATGGGATCATTTGTTGAACAAAAGTTTCGCGAAACTCCTGTTTCGATTCATTAAAGAGTTGCCGTCCTTCTTTGTTTTTAAATTTATTTTATAAATAAATTTAGGTTGATAGTAGCAATTTTAATATCTGATCTAAATATTCGATCGGTTCATACAGGGAGCAGAAATTGATCGTTGTATTGACTTTTCGGTTAGACAAATCATTATTTGAAAGGTCCTTGCTATTTAAAATCTACATTAATCCGTTCATAAAATTTTCTCGTTTTGCGTTTTCCATAAAAAACCAGTTCTGTTTTCTAGGTAAGCCAAAGTCATATTACTTAGCTGCATCACACTTACGATTTACCTATTGCCTCTCATGTCGTTAGTTTTTGATATTACTTTTGGTATAAAAATTCGGCCTTGTCTCGACGAAAGTTTGTAGCTCTCATTTACATAAATTTTGTATTCACAATTTAACCTTTTTCTTCGCTTCTTTGATGTCATTATTATTGTTTCTGTTTTTGTCTTCGCTTTTCTAAATATGTATTATGTAAGCGCTTTTTTGGGAAGAGACGTTGTTATACAATCAAATCACAACTGCAATTTGATTTTAAATTTGATATGCGATTGACATCAAAAGCATTTGTTTTAATTGTAAATTGATTTAGATTTTGTTGACATGAGGCTGCGGCCAACGATATATGCAATTAAAATGTTATAAAGATGTTTCGATTTTTATACATATGCAACTATTTTGTAATTACTTAACCAAATGAATTTGAATTTTTATTTTTTTTAGTTGTTTAGGAGATGATACATAGTTAGGTTCTCTCTTGTCCAGCAAACAGGTCAGTTTAGCCCGTAATTCATAATTGCTGATCAACCGCTCCTCCTAGCGTTCTTTAAGTCACTTAAACTCAATAAGGAGGGACGTTTCTCCTCAATATGCTCCGATGTCCTTGAGATTGGACGCATATTTAGCACATGCTCGTCATCTTTAAAGCACTGCTACAGTATCTCAAGGAACATTGCAGACTGTGACATAAGGCGATAGATTACAAGCCTTTTACGTGGCTGAAATTTCCTGCAGCTCGTAATGCAGCTCTAGAAATTATTTATAGTTTTCACTTGATTGAAAAATAAATGTATGCCTTGGTACCCACATAAGTGTAACGGTATTATATTTGCATAGCTCGCATAATCTGTGTACGGCCCTCCGCACAAATTTTCGCATTTTCCACTACAGCTGAACAGGTGAATATCTTACCTGACCTTTGCACTCTCTGTGGTGGATTGGTAGCAGACACAAATATTTCGAGCGCTTCTACCTCAAACGTAGGCTCCATTAGAGGCCTTTCTGTGTATACTTAAAATAAATAAAAATCGGAGTTCCACACTGTCTGATTAGCTCCGCAGGTGGGGAAGCCCTTAAAAAGCCCCTCTGCTATTTCCCATATCGAAAATGTGTTTCCCGATTTCGTCACATAAAGCTCTTTCTTTAAGTTGGGTATTAGTTTTTCTCTCTGGCGTCAGGATTTTTTAAAGGACTTTATAATTTGATAGATATGATTATGTAATACCAAAAATTATTCAAACCATTCAGTGAAATGTAGAATAAAAATATGGGTACTAAATGCAAAAGAAAATTCTGTAGACTAAAAAAAAAGTAAATTTTTTGGTTCACAAGGACGAATATGTATTGAGAATGCCCATTGAATTAATTAATTTTTTTTTAAGCGAATAAAGTTAAAAGGACGGAATTCGAGGATGTGATCGAGTGCGTATTAGTCCTTAACATGTAATTTTTTCAAAAACAAAGATTGCAAATATCAGGGATATTCATGGATACAATTGTGAAATGACATTTTCAATACAAATAAAAATTAATTTTCCTTAATTCTACAGAATTTTCTCTTTAATTTTGTACCCACATGGTTTTCGTACACCACACTGAATTTGTTGAAATAAAATTTCAAATTTCACGGACCTTTTGAAAAAATTCCTGAAATTCCTGACGTCAGAGAGAAAAACCAAAACCGCAGTTTTACTACATTTGGGCCGTGGTTTCGCGAATGTATTGATTTTTTCGGATGTAAAATTTACTGTCGCGCGGTGTAATCATTTAAGCTTCTGACTTTTCTTTTATTTTTTTTAATATTTTATTGACAAAAGCTTTTAAATCATCTACATAAAATAAGCTATGGAATATACAGTGGCAGGAAAATAAATAGGGGCGCAACATTTTAACCATTTTGTTATTTTTTATCAAAGTATAGCTCGTTATCTAGCGAAAACCATGTTAGTCCCAATATCAAACTTTATATAAAAGTCCGGAAAATTCGAAAAATTTGCATCAAAATTTTAAACTTTTTAATCAGAATCGTTAGAAAAAAAATTTGACGGCCAGATTTGTATCTCATTAAATTCTAGTACAATAAAAAAGCAAGTTTCAATTAGCTGAAAAATTCCGTTGATTTTAATGATTTATTTTTTTGCTGACGGTGTTCGCTTTTTCTTCCATATAATACAATTGTCGTACATACTTTTTTTGTTTTATTTTCCCACCACTGTAGATTACGTTCAATCTACGATTTCCTACCGAACTCCCATTTCTTTCCTTTTGACTTATGCTCCGCTTTGACAGAAAATCCCTGAAAAGGTAATTGTTTCCCTTTTAGTCAGCGCAAAGCATTTTCCTGTTGCCTACACTGACTTGTGTAAGATGTGAGAATAATTACATATATAATCATTGTTTAGGTGTTTCTAGAATTTTGGTTATTAAAAATCTTCCACCACAAGAGAATCTGTAACATTTACCCGAAAACGCGACACATTGACGGTCAAGCATTCAGTTGAGCCGATGGAGTAGTGATTGAATGCATATTTTCATATACATACAACCATTACAACTGACTTAGTGACCAACAACATTCAAACACTGCAACAACAGCAGCAACTGTGGATGCAATATATGTATACCAATAACAACAATAACAAACTAAAACCCAAAACCATTAACATTGTGATATTTATAGACAAAAGAGCACATGAATGCGCCTGCCAGCGATCAAGCCGACCAACTGAGCCGAATTGTAAGCGCTCAAGATGGGGACGTAGCAGCGGCTTGTACGGGGGCTAGGCTAGTGAATTGGCCTAACAACATAAATTGTTACACACAGCTAAGCCTCCAAAAGACACGCAATACAATATACATATGTACATACCCTGCAGGGAAACCGCGGACTAGTGAATCAAATTTCTAGTTCCGTACTAGGTCTTTATCGCCAAAAAGGAACTAGTCCGATTGGAACTAGATCCCCACCAGTCCAAAATCGGCGAAAAGTGGTACTTTTAAGAAACTAATTTTTTTTCAGTTTTTTTCACTACAGATCTATATCTAAAGTGACGAATGTAGGAATGGTTCGGAACTATAGAAAAAGGGATGCAGAACGAACTAGATCCTATTTGTCGAATTTAGAACTATTTCGGAACTATCGAATAAGGGATGC